GAATTTGACTATGTCCTTCAATGCTAAATTATGATTAATAGATGTTTTTCACGTTCATGTCATTCAACCATGCAGTGGATTAACATATCAGAACATGAGACTAACTTTTGTCCGATAATATACAATTCATATTACCACAGAAAGTTACTGATACCAATTATTTGCTCCAAGAGCCATCTTTATAATTGTAAAACTGAATCCAGCAAGATCTTTCAAGATAGTGAGCCAAAATATATCCTAAAAAGTCAGCAAGTATTCCCCTAACAAGGTAACTTGTATTCTTCAGATCATTCAGCAGTGACAAAGGGATGCTTTACCTTCAGTTCTGAACACATTCTAAATTGTAATCTGTTTTCAAGAGATCTGCATGTGATGAAAAAGGAGCTTGTTGCCCTTTTCAGTTTATAATGTCACCAGAAATTAAGTCTATTTAACAGATGTGGAATTCATCATTTCAGCCTTTAACCTGCATTAGAAAGTCACATTTTTGATAACTGATCCCAGTGTGTGTTGTATATACTGCAAGTATCAAAGAAATTCACATAAAAACAAGTTTTCTTCAAATAAAAAAGATGCACTTTCCCTACATTATAACTAAAGAACCAAGTCTCCTAACACCACATTTCTAAGCAGTTTATCCAAGTAAAATCCTTGCAAGCAAAATAAAGTGAAATAAAAAATAGTTGCACTTTAAAACCTGGATCTTCAGCTGATCACAGTAACTCTATTTATTTGACCCACCATAGCTCACTAGAGTTAACAGTAATCAGCCACCTCTCATAACCCAACATCACTTCAAGAGCCCATTTAAACATTTTAAGAGAGATGCCTAATAAACATTTAAGTCTTTTTCTCAGTATTTAAATTACATCTACTCTGAGAAATGGCACACTAGATGACCTAGCAAAAGAAACTTGAATTCACAGTTTCCTGTTAGGCAGGTACACCACAAACTAACTCTTGTCATTTCTCTGCCTCAGTTTCCCTCCCATGAATTAGGAAAAAATAGGAAGGAAACAGACTGATTATGTACAGTATCCTCAAATATTCAGGACCTTGATCCATGTACACACCGTTTTTTCATTAAAAATATATTTAATACCTTTTTATTACATACAGCTGGTCTCTATGAAGAGTATCAATCTTACTCAAACCTGCTATCAATGCGACTGAATTCGATATGATCACAGTTTCCCTCTTTTAAATTGACACAAATCCAAATGCAGCGTTGCCTCATGAATACTCTCTGTTCACTGTTTCTTGCTACTTAGCCCAACACCATGGAAAAACTGTTGCAAATTCTTTAAGAATAACTATATGTTTCTCTGTAGACAAAGGAAGGTCTAGACTAGACAAGAACCCAAATTTTGTTGCAGAGAGGAGCCTTAAAACATCCAGTCATCACGCATTGACAACAAGGGCAACAATTGTTTACTTAGATTCCTTAAAAATAAGGTGGAGTCATATTACACTTCTTGTAAAAATATTCCAGTAACATATAAGGTGACTGTGATCAAACTGATGTTGGTGTTCCAAATCAATTTCCCTTACACAAATTTACAATACAAGAATTCATTAAGACAAGGAGGAAGCAGGTCTGATATTTGAAATAATATTTACCTAGAAGCTTTCGCCAAGATAACTTATCCTCAAATTCCAACAGCAAATTAGTTCCTTTCTCTTTACTTCATTTCATTTACATATATAGCAGGCCCTTTCGTAATAATCATAACAATTCCCTCAGCTTACTGAAATAAACATTAATTCAAAAGAAATACATCAACATGCAGATCCTCAAACTAAACAGGGGAAAGAACAAAAATTAGTGCACGTCAATTCCCACACACTTACAAATTTCCATATTTGTGAAACTGTGATTAGTCATGAAAATAAACTAAAATTAAAAATTTTAGAGTTTTGAAAAAAAACAGGAGGCAATTCCAAAAAAGTATTCATGATTTTTCAAGGCAAATGAGAATACTACTTACCTGATTTTTCACCATTCCCTTTTTTTATTTTTTTCCTTTTCTAATAAAAGAAACACAAACAGAAAAAGGCTTGATCCTACTCTCATTTACATTAGTTTTAGAGTACTGTGTCAACTGTCTTCAGTGGAAAGACTTTAACAGTATCACAGTACTATGGCACATGTCTAACTCAGCTTCAGTCAGATTGTTCATTTACTTCAAGTTAGGGACAAACTTAAGAGCTGGGGATCTACAGTAAGGACAAAGTGAGACTCAGTTCTAAACCTAAAGATAAGTTCATCTTAAGGAAACTCCATGACAGTCATCAACACGTCAAGCTCATAATTTTTTTTTTCTGTGTCCTGTGATCAATTTTCTTTTAACAAATTTGAAAAAAATAGTAGGAGCTAGGCAGCTTTCCACCTGAAGTTGGACAGCTCCACTGAAATCTGGCTTCTATAGACCTCCAGCTAATATAAAACTCTCTGGGACCACTGAAGTTAATCACAAGCCCACCAGTTGGAGTAAATTCATATACTCCTACTAAAATCAGTGGCATTACTTTGATTTACAGCCACTGAAGAAGTGGTGCCATGTTATATACCAAATAAAATAGAAAACTTGGATATATTTGTAGGAAATTGCTGGGAAGGGAGCCATAAGACTTTATTTTTTTAACATGGAGAGTCTGCAACTGCTGTAGCTGTTTGAAATACAGGGTGGGCTTGATTTTGACTCTGTCCTTTTCCTAGGCTCAAGGACCATTGAAATGATGGGGCTTTTAGCCTAAAACTGTCTCCAGAGTCAAAGATTGCATAACATGAAGATACTGTAGGCATTCATATCACCTCTGTATTAAGCTAGGAGGTCAGTCTCTGCAGGACACCTGTGCAGTTAGGAGGGAGAGAGCACAAAATCCTGAGGGCAGTTCAGAGTGGGAGTCTGGTGTTAACTAGCCTTTAACCCTCTGAAGAAGAAAATGCCCCTCTCTTGCCCTGCTCCCTTTTGCTTTATGACTGAGATTGTAAAAAGGTGTGAAAGCTACTTCTAAGCTTCTGGGTGTACACTTCTGTGCCCTTTCTAGTTGCCCAACCCTTCTGTAAGGAGTTATACAAGACGTTAGTGACAGGGACTCTATGATAGCAGTCTAAAGCACGCATTAGAGAGTTTATGAACTATTTTTCATAGCCCAGTAATTTAGTATAGACAGGAAACTGAGTGTTGCAGCTGTACACAAAACACAAATATGATACTTCCTCAATCTCTCTCATTACTTGCCCCAGTTTTTCCCAGCTCAGTCAAAACCACACCATTCTTCCCATTGCCCACCTATTGGAATGACCTCTGCCTCATCCCTTTACTTTATCCAAAGTAGCAAAGGGAGAAAAGGGTACAGGTGCTTTTAGCAGTGATACTACTGCTTTTTCTCATTCCAGCTGGGCCATTCTGTACCTGCTGCCATGTCTGTTGCTCTGACTTCTTTGTGCCTAGCACAGAAATTTTGTTATAATCCTGTAAGACATGCCTTTCCTCAAGGTTTTTCATTTTCTGATTTACAGGAGTATTTTCAGACTCCCAGAAATTGTTATAATGATCAGAGTCCCTGGCAAAAACCTAGTATTTCCTCAACAATTTATCTTTTATATCTTTTGCTCCTTAATTCTCTGGAAACAGAAGAAAGTATGATTGGTGTTCAGGTTACCAATTAGGTAATAATTGTCACTTTTCTTCTCAGACAAGTTAAGTGTGAAAACATCTCTTCTTATAAAAATCAAGCTCTACTTGAATCATTTTTCCAGAATAACAGTGAGGTTTGTATATACACATTACTGTAATAATGTCAAAGTTCAATCATACGCAGAGTTTATTAGATTTTGGTTTATTCTTTCCCTTGAATTATTCATTGACTATCTATAATTTCCCAAAGAATAATTTCATAAAGTGCTGCAGCAATAAAACTCTCCATATATAGCGCACCAATGTGGATGGTATTTATGATGTACTCAAAGAAAGATCAGCCTGTTACATTAATCATGTAAAAGTATTGAAAAATTATATTTAATCATTTCTATTTGAAAATAAAACCTGCTCAGAGCTTTAAAACCTGCATGAAACCTAGAATTAAATTTCATACAACATTTCCTGCAACAATATACATAATTATTCAATACTTCCAGGTTTGTCTGGTGTTCAGTAATCTCTCATCTCATTTCCTCTGAATTGTGAGTTGTATTTAATCTTTTTTATTTAGTAGCTTTTGCTTAGAACATTCCAGATTTAATAAGGAGAAACAGTAAGATATATAAAGCTCTGTCCTTCAGTCAAGACAAGCTGAACAGCAAGACAGACATCTCCTTCCTGAAACCCAGTTCTGATTCTGAGGACCACAAGGACACTAACACAGCTTCAAGCACTCTCTGTGCTTATCCCAGCCTCAGCGACAAGAAGTACCCCTGCAGCATTTGTGCTGGCATGCTAGGGTGGGAATACAGTGTGTTCTTACAGAGTACCACGAGTTTTCTTCAGAACCATGTGTAAGGATGACTGTCCATTCAGCAACTGGGTGAAGGAAGCAAAGATGGGGCCTCCTAGAGTTTATCACTGGAAGTGCAGTGACACTGGAATTGTAAGCGGCATGAGTAAGATTAGTAAATTCTTCTGAATGCCACCTAGTTAGAGAATTAATTTTTCCCTATATTTGACTGCTGAGAGCACCGACCCACACTGTATTTCAGTTTGATCTGTCTGACAATTAAACTTTACAGGCTTTACTATACTCTGCCTGTAGAAAGTCAAGAGAAAGTCAAGTCTGAAGACACAACCTGTTCTTCAGTAGGCCAAAAAGCAGAAGTTCTGCCTAGTACTTCTGGCAGGCTCACACGCATGGTAAGCCAAATCATGCTAACATCTTTCAGATGTTTGAGAAGCTAAATATGGTATACCAATACGCCTAGTTTGTGGCATATAAAATCAAATGGAAAATGAGTGAGCATGATTCCTAATGAATCAGAATATATTGTCATAGAGCTTTACCTGTGTCAGAACTGCAGGAACATTCCATAAAGTCAATTCTTGAAAAGCTGGAAGCTGCAAATAAATGAACATGTACTTAATTAGAAATATAATAATGCCTTTATGTACTCTAACAAGCAAAGTGTATGTGTGTATAGAACATATAAACCTATATATATAAATGAAAGCTTTTTTTTCAGAATTTTAGTGTCCCTGCAAAGGGAGCGAAGAATAAACTATTGGTATAATACTAACAAGCTCAGCTTTTAGTTCTGAACTTTAATAACTTATTTGAAATAGCTCAGCCTCCTGTATATGAGCCATCCTGTATTGTTTCAGCTGATTTTGATTCTCTTCGTGCAGAAACCTTTTAGCTAATCATTTTCATCTCTGTGTGTCAATAAATCTTGCATCTCCAGGGCAATGACTTTTACTCAGCAAATGTTAAGCAGAAATAAAACCACCCAGAACAGTCTAAGCATGAGAATTTCAATAAGAATTTAGCAATACATTGATCCACTTCTCCCCCTTCTGACTTTTCATTACTATGTCACTTTCACCTCCTGAATTCAATAAGATAAAAAGCTAAAATAGCATGTGACTTATGGGCTTTAGCCAACCCTACTAAAATTATTTTTGAATGGCTTTTTCACCAACAGCAAACTCAAAAGAAGGTTTTATAATACCAAAGGTGCTAGAAAATGGTCAATAATCTATTCTTGAAGGGAAGAGTTGGCAGTCATAGACTACAACTGAATGACCTCTTCTATAAATATAAACAGAATAAAAAGCTGAAATTAGAAGATAAAAACTTAATATATGCAATAGTAGGAAAACAAAGCCTGTAATGAAAAGCCATGTTTCTATGGATTTCTAAATGAAACATATTATTACATGCCCTACATTTCCTCTTACTTGGAAGCCAGTTGACAAAGTATTTACATTTTAAACTGTTCCTTAAATAAAGTAAAATTAAGTTAATGTATCTCTTATGTAATTATTTATAAGCATCTACCACCTAAGAGCCACTTAGATGTGCCAAATCACACTTCCTGCACACCAGTTGAACAAATACTATTTACATTCCCCTAATATTTATCTATGAGAACTAGAAGATAATCAATAGTCACAAAACAAATTGATTGAAAACCTATCCTACCATTAAAAATGGTCATTGAAAAACTCACTGATCTTATTTTCAAAGTTTGAATTCTAGCACAAACAGATGGCAGAGATACTATGCCTCTTCAATCCTGACATATGAGTATGATAAACAGTGATGAGCATCAAATCTTCTTTAAGTTCACAATGTAGATAACTGTCTATCTCTATGGTCATCATGACAACTGATGAATGTCCATCAACATTTCATAGACATTTATCCTTACAGCACCCTGTGAGAGGCTGAGACACAGATCAGTGAATGAATGTGCCAGCACATTTGGGAAAATCGCCATGCATACAATACTACGCTCTCATCAAAACCTAGAGTACAGTTGAATTAATGTACAGTTATATTAACAGTGACTGCCAGAGGAATTACAGTATTTACTGTATAGTGCCACAGAATGAGCTGTTAAAAATCTTCAAATAACATTTACTGGTTAAAATGTAGCATAAATTCATTTGAATCATTGCCTTAGCAACAAAAATTTCATAGAAGTCAGCACATCTAGCTTCTTTTCTCTTCTTGTTTCTATTTCCCACCATTAAAATAAGTCACATTATCCAATTATATAGGAAGCATTTAAGAAAGGAATTATTATCTTTTAAAAAAATCATATAAAATTATTTTAATCTATGTAAGCACATGAAGTCTGATCCAGATAAACAGAAGTTAAAGACTACAAGATCAACAGTCTTTTTTAACCTCTCAAGTAGAAACCCATAACCTAAGCAAGGTGGTGTCTTTTACCATGTATTTTTGGCCTATAACTACTTCTGGTTTATAACCAATTTTCTTTTGTCAAAACTGTTATTCAAACTATATAAGCCTCAAAAAAATAAGAGTGAAGTGCATGTTATATTTCTTTATCTAATATATAGTACACCGAACCAAGTATTAAATACATAATTGTATCTAATGTGTTGGCTAACTCACTGCTTGTGGTTTATAAGATTGCAATCTTGCAGATTGACCTGGTTCATTTTAAAGCATTGTACTATTTTGTTGTCATTCTGAAAAGGAAGTGCAGAGACAACAGATAGTTAATAGAGCCACACAAATGGGCCACTCTATAGTTGATGCAACCACTGGTTCTAGGGAAGTCAGTGGAATTGGGCTGGTTGAGTTGAACTGAAGATCTGTCCCAAGGCACATGCTATCAATTTCAGCAGAGTTACATGGACTGGCATTAGCTGGAATCTGATCACAAGAATCCAATGCAGTCATTAGTTTAATTAAGTTTAAATTCTATAAGTCTAAGAAGTTGCATTCCTTTACAACAGTGTTACACTCTCCATAATCCTGTTGCATTAACTTTCTCTGGACCACATCTATTGCATTCTCCTGATTACTTCCATAGAACAGGGATTGCTGATGATGTGTACCAGCAGCATATTAGAGAAAAATATAGAGAGAAATCTATTTCAGTTCTACCAAGTATCGATAAAACAGGCAGCTTTCCCACAAATACCTGTTTGGAAAGCAGAGTAGTGATTCTAGCTATATTATGACTGACAGCAAGAACAGACTGCTTGAAGAAAATGAAAATATCTTGGTATTTACCAAAGTCAATAAGGAGTAATCTATACTGTTAAGTATTGGTGTTTGATCCTCATGAAAGACTCATTGTTAGATGATGAAAATGTCTAAGGGTCCATTCTTTACTAATTCTATACAAACAAACAGTAGTTTGCAACTGTCTGCAATTAAGAAAAGCATGACTAAGGACCACAGTGAGACCTTCATATAGCTGAGGTAGCCATAAATACAGATGTACATTCTCCTCTGATACCACCCTCAATTACAGTTCTGACTTACATAGTTCAAAAGTGTCTTTGCAAGTTTGTTCAGGAATTATTGCAAAATTCAAGTGCTACAGCTACTGTAATAACCTAGGAAAATTAAACATTGTACTGGTGCTGGCTCAGTTGTATTTCTAACCCCTCTGTGAGCTCATTCAGTTCAGCCAGTGGCAGAAAACTAACCGAGGCAAAAAAAAACAGGGAGTAGTCAAAGCCAGCAGTAAGGACAGCAGCATGATATTCCATGAGGTATTAAGAGCCATGATTTCTGCTGAAGGACATTTGAACAGCTGGTTGATCACACAGAATATCACATATAGGATATTAACTTTCAGACTAAAATTCAAAAGAGTCTGTTTATGTGGCTGAAGATGTATTCAAACTACAAAGAGTTGGAGAACACACCTGGTACCCTCCTGTTGCTTATCCTCCCTTCATCCTCTTCAGTCATCTGGTCCTGCCATATCTACCAAAGACTTTTTTTTTTTTTTTTTAAACTGAAACCAACAGAGCAAAGTTGAAGAGTTTCTATACATATGCTATTGAGATACATGAACTCTTCCTCTGGGCTTTTCTCAGATTTGGAGTACCAGCTCCTTGTCAAGCTTGTTCCTACCTTTCTTTTCCATGTACTTGTCCTTTCTCTTACCTTCTTCATTGTTACCTCATATGGGCACCCCTCTTCCCAGCCCCCTCTTTCCACTAATAACACTCCAAGATTTATTTGTTATAATGGTTTTCAGCTTTTTTCCATATATAGAAACATTTCACAATGGAGGTGTAGATCCAATAGAATGAGTTTCAGCATAACTACAATGGGTTGTTTTCGTCGATTCTTAGAACAGTCCACAGAAAACTAAGAGTCCACGCACTACCAAGTGAAACTACTGAGCTATAATATTGACACAGAGATACAAAACCACAAAAAGTTATTTCTCACACAATTTCATTTTCTAATCAAGAACCAATTGTCTTCTCTTGCTATCTTCCCTACTTGCTCCTTCCCCTGACAATGGAAATGACTGAGGTCTGCAAACACATAGAGTGTGATTTCTTATCTTCTTTCAGAATCTCCTGGAATCAGTTAACTGGAAAACATTAACAAAGCTTTCTGTAAGTCATTAACAGTTACATTACACTTCTCTAGAGGCCTTTGGAGTATCCAGTCTGTGTTTGCTCTGAGCTGAGTGAAATGCAAATCATTATTACTTATTTCTACTTGCTCTGCCACAGTTATTCAAACCATAAGGGCTCTAAGACATGTGACAATATATAAGAGAAATACTAGGGGGCAGCAGATTTCAGCTGGTTTTGCAGACACACAGCTGGGCCCAGACAGAAACTGATAGATAACCTATAAATCCAGCTAAGCTATAACAGGAACAGTGTGACTGACCATTCTCTGTCAAAATGATGCCACAGCACAGCACAACTTCACAAAAAGATGATGAATTCTGGGACAAGATCTATTTTCTTTCAGTTTTAGAGCAGACCTACCAGAGTGTGGTCATGATCCAAGATTTACACTCCCACAAGTTTTTCCTGCAAATGTTGAAAAAATGACAACGAAAATAAAGGAATTTGGCCATTAAACAGTGTTTACACTCCAAAATGTAGAAAGTGGTAAATAATCCAAGGTAAAAGGACTATTTGCAACCATGTTACTAAACCTTAGAAGTAAAACTAACCGTATTCATAATGTCCTGTATATTTTGTGACAATGGTATTACTCTCTTTCCCAAAAGACAGTGGAGATGTAGTTACATATCTGAAGGTGCCCAGAATACACTAGAATGAAGTCTTACATAGCAAAGCAGTCATTGGAGAAATTATGTTGTGCTATCATAGACACTTTTTGTCATCAATGTGTCAGTTTAAACAAAGCTGCATTAATAACTTGCTTTTAAAAGTGCATCGCTTCCTATCCTGAGAGGAAAACAAAACATGGAATTCAGAACTTCCTGCAGACTGAAAATTACAAGTTTGTATCAGCTCCATTCTGCATTAAAATGCCAATTCAGCACTAACGGAAATCTCCTACATCTATTCCTGCATCATGATAAACGTAAGCTTCAGTAACACAAAACAATCAAGTTTTGTACGCTACAGCCAACCAAAACGTTAACTAACCAACTTTATAATGTTAAGTTGATCTCATCCTCTCCAAGCATGACTTTCAGCATCCAACGTTTGTCGTAGCACAATGTTTCAACAGAATGCATACCAACAGGGTCTTCATGTAAATATTCAGAAAGGTTCCCTGGGGCATTTTTTCTGCAGCACTTCATGCAAACTTGTATACTAGTTCATTGATTTTGGTAGATACCTGCCTAGAAAATATGAGTAATGCTTTTTACTTATTCAAGGTAGAAATGAGAAAATGGGCTTAGAGTTGCTTTGTTTGTGTTTAAATATGAACATAAACATATTTTCCAACTTCTCTGATATGAGATTTCAGATTTGGTTTTCATAATGGAAGTGTCAGGAAGAAAGAAACAGATTCTGATATCCCACTAATTTTTTTTATAACACAGGTGATATGGTGCCAATAAAATTACAATGTAAGTATGTGCTAACATTTAACATGGCTGTCCTAAATAGAAGCTAAACTCATAGAATCATAGAATCATAGAATCATTTAGGTTGGAAAAGACCTTCAGGATCATCGAGTCCAACCATTAACCATGCCCACTAAAGCTTGTCCTGAAGTACCCTGTCTCAGAGTTCTGAGTGCCTTAAGTATTTCTCAAGGTCACAATGTAAATTCATAAACTTTACCGTAATAAAAGTTCAAATAATTTGAAGGTTGATGTAGTGTCTTTCACAGATTGTTCCGTAATGTCCTCATATAACAAAGGGAAATTGTATAATTAGTCGTGACAATGGACTTCTTAAAAATTTAAATTTGGCTACAGTTTCAGCAAGAGAGTCTGCACTTTATTAGCTGCAGTTCAGATGCATGAGCTACAAAGTCTGCTCATTCGCTCACTCTGTGTGTCCCTTCTAAGATTAGGAAAAGGAACAATCTAATTAGAAATAATCCCACCTAGAACAAATAACAAAAAAGAAAAGCGAGAAGAAAAAGCTTTTTGGGTTTTTTTCCCCAGTTGCCAGATGAGTCCATTAACTATTATGTGGACTGTGGTCTTATCTCAAGCAAAGGATAATGCGTTGGTCCATTTCAAAACTTTTTGTTTATTATATCTTTTAAAAATATTGTGATATTTTCTAAACATAATGGGGCCTGCACAAAACCTGCTGATTCTTAGAAAAAACAGGATACACTTTCAATGCACAGAATATATTTAACACTAAGTAAACTGAGCTGCAGAGAAGAAATAAGCTTTGGTTTATATAATGTCATTGCCTAATCTCTAACTCTCATAATGGGAAATAAAGTGGCTTTTATGAGGTTCTAGTCCCTCCAGAGTTATTTGGTAATAATGACTTAACAGGCAAAGTTTGAAAGTAAAACCAATTTTTAAGTGAGCCAGAATCACAGCTCTTTGGAGATTATCACTGGAGATCAAAGTCAGCAACAAATACCCAGAGCCGAACAGAGAATGTCAGGGTTGTTTTCTTAGTTCATAGAAGCTTCTGAGTTTTATATGGTCTCCTTGCTAATTAAGATTCAATATACCAGTTGGCTGTGATCTTTGGTGTCTTCCACACCTGAATAATATTTTCTGACATTTAAGTCAAGCTAAATCTGAGTGTCTTAGTGACAGTAATGAACTGTATACTCAGAACTATATTAAAATAAGGTTTCCTAGGTTGGGTTTCCTAAGTTTCTTTGAAAATGTGGAGGTAGCAGCAGAATGAGCTCTTTTTAAAATAATACGTGCCTTGTTAAAACATTTCAAAATTAAGATAAAAATTGAATGTATCAGGGTAAACAAAAATGCAAAACCTTGTAAAATCTGTATTTTATTTCCTATTTTAAATCATAGTGTTTCTGCAAGTAGCACAAAATAAATTTTGCTCTTTTTAAGACTGAAAGGTCTGGGAATTTTGAGAGACAAAAATCCAGTCCAGCAAAAACTGCTACTTCTATAAAGCCATAGTTCCTGTTTCCTAATATTTCCTACTATCATCATCAAAAACCATAACATCAGGTTCTTTCTTTTGTCCTTTATAATTCAGCATATTAGTCAGAAATACCTCAGAGAAACAGGTGTATGAGAGATTGTCAGGTATTGAAAAAGAGACCACTGCTTTTAAATTCTTATGTTGGGCTGGTACTAAAACAACAGAAAACTGATAGGTAGGAGAAATGTGCCAAGTAAAAAGAAGACACAAAAACTATCACATCGATGTACTAATTTTTCCAACAAAATATAAGCCACTGAATTGCAAACTCGGGAATAACAACTTACTCAGCACATGCATAGGGCTACCTGCCAGCTATTGAGTCATGGCAGAGTGTCAGTGCCACATGTTTCCCACAGCAGCTGAATTTTCATCAAACTCTGCAGTACAGCAGGTAGGAAACTACCACAGTCAAAGGAAAAAGACTGTGTAGAAAGTGATATGCAAATCAGACTGTTCATTAACAGGTCTAACCAGCTAAACAGAATGAGAACTACTAAAAAAAACTGGTAACATGGCATTTCTGCAGATGCCTAATTTTTTGTGTTACCAAGGATCAAACTCTGCCTATTTTATTTCTAAGCAAGATCACTCAAATCAGCAAAATAAGCACAGGCTAAATTTAAGTATATTGTTAAGTGCCACCCATAGAACGCTGCTTTCTCAGACTGAGGCAAATACAGAAGATGTGCTTGCCAGCTTGCAAGATTCACAAAGATTATATTACTGTATTGATGGTCTTCTAAAAACAGAGAAGAAAAATGTAAAATTCCAACTAAATAATATTTTACATGTTTTAAAAATAATGCCTATGGGAAAACTAAAAAGTTTTTTAAATTGTGAAAGGGAGAGACTTACTAAAAAATAAAAAGGATTGCACTTAGATTTTTAATTTAGTAACAAGAATTCCTGCCCTGCAACTAAAGCGATTTGTCATTTCCCATGGAGAGAAAAGGCCCCTCTCCCAATTACATGTTTTCATTCTTGCACTGACTCTGTCACTCATTTGACCCTCATTGAGTTCATTCAACTCTCCAAACTAGCAGAAAAATACTGAGGTTTTTGGCTGGGAGTTAGTTTTCTGCTCATTTAGTCAGATGAATCAGCTCATGGTAGTGTCATATGAGTACCTGAGCCAACAGAGGGAAGATGAAGGGAGGAGCATGCTGCTGCAAATGAGGGGGAAAAAAGGAGTAAGAAGTGATATTGCCGTCTTGGAGGTTGTGAGCTGCTGCACTGGCTCAGACATAATGCAAGATTTAATACAAAAGATGAACTCCCATAAACCTATGCAGGAAAACACCTGAGGATTTTTCGTTTCTCACAATTGGTTATCAGCCCTAATTCCATCTCTACTTCCTATGGTCCCTAAGAACAGTGCATGTTATATTTCATCACATTCCACTTTTCCACTACTAGCATCTACGTGCTCCACATCTGCCCTGGACAATAAAAGTTTTCTGGAATTTTGAATAAAAGTAACAATAAGCCTCACAACTATGATCGTGAAGAAGGTCCCTATCCTGAGGAAACTTCCCAGAGCAAATTCTTACCAGCTTTCTGTGGCTTCTGTCCTGTTCATGAGTATAAATCGATGTTACTTCACAGAGATTCAGATCTCCTATCAATTATTCACTGCAGATATTGAAACTTTGATTAGCAAGATCTAAAATCACTTGGTCACATTATGGTTTTTTGTTTCCTTCTCTAAAAGCAGGGATCATATCTTTAATTAATGCCAGTGAAGTTCATCTTCATGAAGCAATATAAATTTTAGCTAAGAAAGCAATGTGATCATGACACCATGAACTCTGCTCACTTGGGGAACATAAAGGAGGAAGACAGATGCAAAAAGCAGAATTGAGATCAGAGTACTCTGAATGCCAAAGTTCAGATCTAGGCACCATCTCCAGTCTATCACAAGACTGGTTTTAATAAATTTTGGAGACACTTTAGCCACAAAGCAAGTATTTTCCTTTGGACTCTGTACTCAGTGCATCTCAGAGCTGCTCTAGAAGTAAAACTTTACATAATGACTAAACTCAGAAATCAAACAGCTCACTGCTCTGATTCTGATCTAAAATTGAATTTAAAAAGAAGTTGGCTAATTAGGAAGCTCTACAGAGTTTCATAGTCAAATGAAAAGAGATCTGTACCAGAAATTATTTTTAAAAATAGTTAACTTGCCACCTAGATCCATAGTTCCATTATTTTTTGTATCCACACTAACCGGAGACTGGCCTGAAAAAAAAACTGGTTTTGTGCTAAAATTGTGGCAACGCCTATATTAGGAATCAAACTGGGGTTTTTTTTAATTGAGTTTTATGAAATATGGGCACAATGGTGAGAAAACATAGTAAGTCAGTCATATAAGGAAAAAATATTAGAACTTTCCTCTATTATCATACAGTCCTAGTCCTCTACAATTGCACTACCAAAAAGTTGAAGTATGTTTAAAATCCTTTCTCACATCCAGTCTGTTCAGGACAAAATTTTGCTGTTTTTCCTTTCCCTCATCTTTCTTATTTTGGGATCCATCATATCTACATCATTTCTTAAGCACATATGGATTTTGCAGCTCATCCTCTACAAATAACAAATAACCAAGATACTTTACTTTCAAAGATTTGTCATGAGCTGAAGTTAGAAGCCTGTGGCAAGTATAGTTGGTTTTGGTAATGAAAATTTATCGCTTTCATTGTGAAACATTTTCTCTACGACCAGATATAAAAGTAACCTTAACTGGAAGCACTCCAACTCAACAGCAGCACTTTACAATAATTTTTTTTTTTAAACAGTAGCATTAAATAGATATCTACTTACCCAAACCACATTAGCTCTGATTGTGCCAGGCATGATATATGCATTTAGTAATACAAGAAGAAGTCCCCATTCCAAACAGCCTGCAGTCTAAGTAGAGAAAATGAAGATAGTGGCTATTTTGTAGAAAGAAAACTAAGGCAAAGTTCTGAATCATAAACAATATAAGCATTAGGACATAAATAAACTACCACACATCTGGGAATAGAACAAAGATCTTCTAAGTCCCTCTCCAGTGTCTTAGCCATAAGGCTTCTCCTTATGAGCAAAATGCAGTATGACTTAGTATTGAACTGTGAAGTTTTTAAATCAAGTAGTATTTGTCTTACATACAACATTTTCTTCAAAAAGCAAAACCATTTTTCTGACACCATGCAACTCATTAATGACTTTTCAATTTACAAGTAAAATGCAACCAGCTGTGACTGCCTTTATATCCCATTTACTCATCTTTTTCAGCAGCATATCCAGATTTTCTCCTCTACCTGAAACTACACGTGGATTTTTCAGAAACAAAGAAAACATTAATAGTAAAACTGAGATTTGCTCATCCTGGGAGCAGACACCTGACTGGCAGGAACCATCACGTTTGGAACATGTGGAGATGCACCTGAAATACCATCCGTTTTTAAGAGTTCCAAGACAGCAGTGGTAACACACCAATACAATACTGTGAAACAAAAGAAATCTTTTCCTTCATTATTTAGAGACTCCACAAGGCAACCTTGAAACAGTTAAAGACCAAAGTAGGGCCTCACTATTATGTGAAAGTTACCACCTTGGGTGGCCTTACGCCCTAAACCATTATAAAGCATTGACTCGAGGGAGATCAATACCAACATATCCTGGCAGTACTGGTGTTTGGAGCTTATGAAATCTGACAAAATCACCGCCTGAAATGTTAATTGGCAGAGAACGACAGGATTTTTTATCGCTCTTATTATAATTAAAAAATAAACATGTTTATGTTTATTGGAAAACCAAGAAAACTGTTTAACTTCAGCCTTTATTACTATTTTAGGGCCTCATCTTTTTCTTCCTTGCTTCAGTCAATAGGGCCATTTTCAGATGGGGGTTTGGGGGGGTTGTTTTGGTTTTTACAAAAGGGAGATTATTCAAATACAGGGGTAGAAAATTTTGCTACAGTTACTAATACCATATTTCAAAGCAGCAGTCAGGGCAATGTGTAAAATCTTCTGGAATTAATAGAACAAAGAGGAAAAGGAAAGATGACAAGACACGGTATCTTAACAGCTGGATGCCAATTACTACTCTCTGTTAACAAAACACAGCCATCTACCGGAGGTTTCTTTGTCTCCCCAGTTGCACAAAGTGGCAATTCAATTAGAGGTCTCTTCCTTTCACACAGCTCGAAATTTTAAACAAGTTTCACCTAAAAAGATTAATGTTCTCCACTTCATTTCATTGAAGCCATTATTACACTTCTTTCTTGCCACCCTAGTTATTATAAATTATGGCTCTTTCACCATTTGATAAATTCTGTAACTTTCATCTTTGTGTGCTTTTAAAGTTCACCCGTAGGGAGGAGGTCTTCTGTATAAAAAGGAACTCTTGATCATGTGAGATGGTTCAAGGAGATCTGTATTACATGAGGTGAGGTGTCAACAGAAATTTGCCATGGTAGGCACTTCTTGTTAATGCCACCTGTAGCACACTAAATGTATTTGGTGTTATTAGACCCTTCTTTTTTTTTCTAGCTGAAAAATTTGTAATGCTTCCTTGGTTGCTCTGTTTCTCAGGATTTAAGGAAGGAAGTTACACATGCCCATATGACAATACCGCCAGCATTCAAGGTTAAAAGTATAAGTCAGGAACAGTATAAATTGAGGATCTTAATAGAACAAATTTGAAAGAATAATCATTTGAAGGCTTCTGGGGAGGTTTTGCTTTGGGGCATACAAGCCTTCAGTCTACACTCAGATCGTGTTTTCTCTTTATTCTGTTTATCTAAAGGTGGCTACTTCAGATGCAACTCCTAATCACAAAGTCCTTAATCCACTGTTTACTAGATGCTTTGGGGATTTACCAAGGCAATGATTCCTCTTTCTAATTCTGGTCTTTCTTTCCCTATGCGTTCACTGCTGGTATGACGCCAGGAGCCCCTATGATTGACAAAAGATGGAAAGAAGGATGTTTAAGATAAAGCACTCCAGTAGTAAATCTGTCATCCATTTTACTAATCTGCCATGTGGAATGTCTGCGAAGAACTCAGGGCAGGCAGAAAACTGGGGGTTGAACAGGACATCCATATAGCGAGCAATTCTTCCAACACACAATTTGGAAAATATGAGCTGTTTCAGTGCATTAAATCAGCAGAAAAACTATTCACTTTTGTTGTATTAGTTTTCTGCCAATGCAGTGCACTGACATGGGTCAGCAACCCAATGAGCAAGGGAGTCAGGAAAAGGGTTTGGCCAGAGGCAAGAGATAGCAACAAGGCAGCCAGCAGTTAGATTGCCTCAGGCTGCTAGAGAGCTATAGCCTTAATTTCCTGTCATTTTTTATCTTTGATTGCCTTATCAAGAGGTCGGATAGGGAGCAGTGCTATTGTAAGGAAATGGGAACACACAGCTGGAGGAAAAGGAGATCAGCAGCACTCCAGTGGCCCAGCTTAGATTAGTTTAAACCACTTGAGTCACTAGTGTCCTACGTTTTTCAGTTCTGTTTCCAAAGGTGAGATACTTATGATTAATTCCCTCAAATGGAAGAGCAAAGATATTTCTAAAGGATTGTTGGTGAGAGATCGCAAGAAATCTCACTGTTAACATCTAACCTGCCTACCCAAGTCTCCATCTTATTCTTGATGCATGGAAAGGCCTTAAGAGAGATTAGCCTAACTTGTAATGTGAGGGGAACTGATAACAGAGAAACAGTGAAGGTAACTGAGCTACTCACTTGCATTATCCAAAAGCCTAGGTTTCCCTTTGATTCTGTCAATAACTAAGGTGCTTTTGCACATCTGTAAAATACCTAGTTCATTTTTTCCCTTTTTCTCCCCATAAAAATTCCTATTGAATCAAAGGGTCTGGAAGGTATCTATCTGGGATTTATCCTTAAGTGTGGCAAACCAACTATTGGTTACAGCTCTGCAAGGATAAAAGCTCTGAAGAAAGAGAGGAAAGAGGAGAGAGAAGATATTGTTTCCATTTAAAACAAAAAATCTAGCTAAAGATTTATTGACTTCACTTTCGATTTAGGCTCTCTAGATATCTTATTGATTAGTATGCAGCGTCATGCACAAAGCAATTGGAAAACTGAGAAAATCAAAAGCAACAAAAAAGCCAAGAATTGCACTTCTCACACTACCTGTTGCAATCTTTTTCAGCTGTTTGTTTACTGCATCTTACAGATGTGACTCAGTTGTAAGACCTCAATTATTTGTGGAGAAGACTTAGCCAGTTTGTGCCACATTCTGCCTCAGGTGCACAAGCGCAGTGTCACCGGAATTGTATGCAAGCACCTAAATGTTCTTTAGTATCTTAAATGGAAAGGATTCTTTTAGTATCCCTATTGAAGAAGAAACTTACCACTTAAATACGTTATAGGAAACTTAATAACCTTTGCCTGATTTCTCTTTTTTCCTTTTTTACTGGAGCAGCAAAACACTGTGTTATCTGATATGTGCTGTACTTTGCAGAACTTTAAACTCCTCTAGAACTCTGCCATTCTTATACCATTCTTTAGTAACTTTAAAATAATTTTGCATACATTTCTATTGCTTCCAGTTAACTTGCAAATTTACAAAGCTTTTCAGAAAATGACTGTGTAGCCTAGAACAACCAAACTTCTCTCTGTGTTTGGGCAGGAAGGGAAGGAGAAAAACCTGGAAGTGTAGCTGGATGCCAAAACGGTACTTGGCAGAAAAAAATACTGGGAACTACTCACAACAGATTAAGTGATTGTCTCACAATTTTTTGTAGCCATGATATAGCAAATCATGCCATTTTATTGGAAGGGGGAGAAATTCACTTTTAAGTAGAAATCTGAATTTTTTTCAACCTTCATGGATAATAGATTAAATTTTTAATGAACTTCCAATATTTTGTTTTAAAATATATGACTAAAATAACTAACAATCTTTTTGTGTAGCATAAAGGTGGTTTTCTAGACTTGTCTAGGGACTACATAATGTATTTCATTGGCTTATCATCTAATATATAACAACATTTTATTCTGCAACTTGCAACATTGTTACATTAATAGAAGGATATGAGCCCATTTCTTCAGCTAATTAAGTCACATATAAGTATTCTCATGTGTGTTAGTTGAAAACTTCATTAAGTAGCAAAAATGTCAGCACATTTTAAAGATACTGCTTTCATATCTTACTAGGATTCAGCCTGTAATCACATTTATAATTCCTTTGACCCTACACCCCTCAGCTGAGTCAATTTACACCATTTTCATAAAACCTTCAAAATTATACTTGATCCAAAATTGTCTGCATGTAATAGTAGAAAAAAGCCAAGCTCGTAAGAGCCAAGGGAAAAAAAAAAAAAAGGCAGATAAGCCATGAAAAAATGTAACCCAAAACCACACAGGTCATGAAGTCTATAAATTACACTGTTCAAACACATGTGCTCTGATTTCTGATTTGGTCTGTAGACTAAACGAAATTATACCATTTATCCAAACATCCCAACTCTTGTAAAGTGCTTGGAACGTTACGTAACAACTTTTAACAGACCAATATCTTTTGTAAAATACTAATCATTGAATAATCCCACATGAAACTCTAGAACTGGTAAATGACCCTGAATTAATTAACAGCTAGGATGACATTAACAAATATTCCCAGACAGATCTTCAACAGTCACAAATTGAACCTCCTATAAAAGCTAGCCAAGCAACTACTTCCTTTTCCCCAAATGGTCTCTGTTAGCACAGCTTATATCACAGAGCACTACAACTTCAGGAGTTGCTCAGGTAAGCATCTTAGCTTGTTTCTTTTCCTATTTGAAAAACTTTGCTCCAAAAAAGTAAAGCTTTTAAAGAGACATTGTTGTACTGTTGCTCAGTTCTGTTCCCAACAGAAGACCACTTAAAGA